AAATTTCGAAAATCACAATGAGAAGAGGTGTCAACATTATGCACATTAGCCACATCATAAGGAGTACATGACATAAAATTGGAATCCAAGAAAAAAGTTGGGGAATTTTGACAATTTGCATCACCAAAACTCGAAACATTAGAATCCAAAACATTATCATCACATTCTTCAAAATGAGTTCGCACCATTAAAATGGTCATACATCTCATGATTAGCCATCTCCCAATCATAAGTATCTTTAGCTAGCCATTCAAACATACTCCAATTCTCATTAATGGTTTTAGACATAAATTGACCTTCGGACATAGATTCAACAACAACTCGCATTTCATCATTTAAACCTTCAAAAATTACTTCACAAATATCCACCTTTAAAAGTCTATGACCATAATTATAACCAACATAATCATTAACCCTATGGTAATATCTCCAAAATGTTTCATTCTCGTATTGGGAAAGGGAAAAAATTGCCATTTATTTCAATGGAAGAAACCCCAAAATAAAATATAAAAAAGAAAAAGAAAAGGGAAAAAAATATATGTACAAAGACTTAGACTCATCAAATCAATAATTAGACAATGTCAACCGAAGTCCCCGGCAACGGCGCCAAAATTTGATAAGCTGTCGTCGAGCCTACCAAAGATAAAAACCTAACTTGGTCTGTCTAATGGGTAGAAAGGGTAAGTAAGGGTCGATCCCACAAGGACTAAGGGGAGCACTAACAAATATCGATTTGTGATAAGCTAAGTCAAGTCTTTTTGGGTTATGAGTTATGAAGAAAAACTACAAACAATAATAAAGAGGATCTCGGAAAGGTATCCACCAATTAAGTCGTTCACAAACTACAATTTAACATACAAGACATGGCAATTTGGGGATAAATTAGGGGAAGTCATCTAAGGCACCCAACTACTCTCTCAAGCTAGAGGGATTACTTGAATCATGAATACAACCTACTCTCGTGGTTACAAAGCATAAAACAAGTGTTAAAGCATAATCACGATGACATAAACATTCCCTTGATCGAAAATTCCTATTCTCATGGCATTTCGGGTCAATCAAGCATAAGGGAGCTAACTCAAGTTCATCTCTCGATCCTTCGTTGAGAAAGCTTAGATAAATAGTTCTAGCAATGGCCACTTACAAGAACTAACAATGAAACCACTTAAGCTCAACTAATTAACATCCCACATTAGCTAAATCAACACATACAAACAAGTATTTGTGAATTCATCAATGATTTCAACAATCCCAAGTAAAAGAACTACTCACAAATCATAATAAATTGCAAAACTAAAGGAATTAACAACTAAGAACATGAAACAAACACTAATCTAACATAAACAAGTAATTAAGGATGAAAAGATACAAAAATAAGTAAATAGAATAACAAAATAGGAGAGAGAGTAAGAAATTCTCATTGATATTGCAAGGAGTATCCAAATCTTCAAGTCTCCTTCCTTCAATTCTTCATATTCCAAGCTTTCAACAAGATTTTCTCACTTTCTCTCTCTAGAAAATGAGAGTTTCTCTCTCTAAAAACCCTAACCTAAGCTAAAAATAAACTAAGAAGATCCCCTCCCTTACAAATGAAGCTAAAGGGATATTATATAACCCCCAAGTAAAAGGACGGAGAAACCAAGAATCGGCCCGTCTACAGGTCGGCACGGACGTGCCAAAGGTTGCACGGACGTGCAGACCTGTTAAAATGAGAACAATAGCTACTGCCTGACCTTGCACGGACGTGCATGAATTGGCACGGACGTGCATGAATTGGCACGGACGTGCATGAAACAACTTCATTTCGGAAGGTCATAACTTCTTCATTACTCATTGGAATAAGGCATGTAAGCAGTCGTTGGATAGCTCTTGAGATGAACTTTAATCTCCAATTTGAATCACTTCAAAAACTTGAGTAGAAAAAACTTTATAGTCATTTGAAGTTGACCTTAGTGAAAAAATCCTTCCAAAACCCTTCCAAATGCTCTTATTTCACTCTTGTACACTTTTCCTTGCTTCTTTCATTCTTTCATAGCTCCCTTATTTCCTCTTCTTGTCTCCAACTTCTTTTCTTCTTTGTCCAAAAGATTCAAAGTGCCATATTTATACCTAAATATGCACCAAAACACTAGCAAACCCGTGAAGCATATGATACACAAAAAATGCATTAGTGAACTAAGCATTGATTTCCCACAATTCTAAGGCTCAAAATCACTTCAAAATCATACAAAATAACAAGTTATCAAACGCCCGGGCTACTAACTAGTAAAATTTCAAATAAAAGTATAACTCTGAAATAATGAATATGAAAAGTGGGTGAAAATCAAAATGGTCAAGACAAATACTATCGATAAAGATGACATTATTGTGAGAAGGATAAGAAAGATGCATATACAAGAATTTTGATATTTTTTTGGAAAAATATACTTTAAGAATACCAATTATGGACGATTTACTTTTAATAATCCCAACTAAGGTTTATTATCTAATAGTCTCAACTATACTAAGTGTTTGCTTTCAATAGTTCCAACCGGTCAACACCAAGTCAACGACATGTTATAACCGGTTACCATGACACGTGTCAACACGTGAATGATCCAAAATTTTTAAAAAATTAAAAAAAATACCCTTGATGTATTGTTTCCCACCTTAACCTCCACCACTCCAACTCCTAACATACACCGCACTCACAACCACCATCACCTACAACAACTGCCGCTACACACCAAACCACCACCACCACCACCAACAACAGCATCGTCTCAACCCTACCACCGAAATTAGTCGGTTGGGCCACTTCAAATTCCACCGCATCATCACAACAACAACTATGAAGCGGCGCATCATCATAACAACAACTGTGAAGCAGCTGCCGCAATTCCAGCCACCATCTTCACCAGTAGAATTCGACGAAAACATCTTATCAATAGCAAAGATCAACGAGACGCCCCTTTCTCGACCTTTCTTCCTTTTGCCTCCTCCGTCTCCCAAACACCCCCATTTGACGAGCGACTGGAGTTTCGAGGACTAAGAAACCCTTGACAGGGTTTGACGTGCGACGTGAGTTTTGGGGATTGAGAATGTCAAACGGCAAGTTTCAGGTGTGGGAAGGGATGCTCGGCTGTTTTGGGGGGTGGGGGATTAGGGAGGTGGGAGGTCGCCGGCTGCCTGTTTTCGGTGGGTTAGGGGTTGGCTTAAGGTTTCACGGTGGGGGAGGGGGTGGCTGACAATGGTTTTTTTTCCTAATAATTTTTAAAATTTTATAATATTAAACCAATCACGTGCTGACATGTGGCTTTAAAAAAAAGTTACCCTATCAGCAGCTCACCGGTCATTGGGACTATTGGAGGTAAAGAGACCCCATAGTTGGGATTATTAGATAATAAGCCTTACTTGGAATTATTAAAAGTAAATCACCTATCAGAATGGTCAAGACAAATACTATCGATAAAGATGACATTATTGTGAGAAGGGTAAGAAAAGTTTTTGATATATATATATATTTTTTATTGGTGTTTAGAAGCAAGGACAAATGATGTAAATCGATCTCAAGATCTCTTGGCAGCAGGAGGAGAGCTCTTATCGCATGAAGCAATGAACTATCCCTCATTCTCCCAAAGTCTTTAATATGGATGTTCATATCTTTTAAACTAGTTAATTATGTTTTTTTTTTCTTCCCAAACTAAATATTTTCTGTACGAGTACAAAAAATGAGACATCTTACACATTGAAACCTTTTGATCTCATTTGGCTTAAAAAAATCAAAACTAGTATATAGTACTTCATATTTTTAATAGTTTGTCAAATTGTAATGGACCCTTAAAATGTATGGCAGCAAGTAATTTAATCTCCCTTGTTAGTTGTTACACATGCTTTATAATTAAGAAATAAAAATCTTTCTTATAAAAAAATAATTCTCCATTTAATGCATCACTTAAAAAATATAAAACAAAAATATAGTTTATTTTAAGTACTTGATGGTACAGAAGAACAAAAAAAACTAAGAACCATTTTCTTCGGAGTCAAACCTTTTTTATAAGGCCAGGGTACTTTTAACAAACATGAACAATAATAACTCCTAAATCTTAGTGGTTTATTTCTGATACTCCTAACTTGTGAATCAAATAATACTCACATAAAAATTAATTAAAACCCTTATTTGACAATAACATAGGCCTAAATCTTGGTCCCTGTAAAGAAGGATTGGCAACAAAATAAATCTCAAATAATTTCAAGGAAAAACAAATTGCGAAAAATAATATTTTGTTAATGCAAGTGGTACAACCGTTGTACGTATCATTAGAACACTTGAGAATGAAGTAAATTAGTAAAGCCACACAATAAGCGCGATTTTAAACTTACATGATTTTCTGTTATTAAAATAGGTAAATATTACAACTAACTAATACATATTTCACCACACATTTTCTCAAATAGAAATTTTCTTCCCTAAACTAATTTTAAGCCTAAACTATAGTGAGAAAACTGTACTAGTTTCTCCACTTGGGTCTTACAATCCGTATACTTTCACTATCCTTTTACAATAAAAATATATAAGTTGTTTCTTTTTATTATTATTGTTATTATCTCAAACTAAATTTTCCCTAGTTAAATTTTTTTTTAATTTTTTTTTTATCTCGATCTCATTTTTTTTTTTCAATCTACATTTACATTTTGAAATACACAAGATTTCTGGGATATTGATTGAATTTGGCTAGCTTTTGGGTTTGTTAGACATTTATTTGTCTTTCGTTTTTGTACAGAAGACTCTTATTTTAGGGTTGAAAGGTGCCATTTTTGTGATCGTCGTTTGGGAATTCTTCCATAACATCGTGTCTAATAATTAAGTTGAGATCGAGGTTAACATTGAGAAAAGTTGCTATACAAAGCTAAAGATTTGTCTTTTATTTTTCATCACTCTACTTCGAGTGAGGTGATTGTTTGAATTCGTCTATTCAAGGAGGGAGTACTGAAAGTAAGTTGTTCAATAACAAGTTACAATGGAAACGGAGAGGCTAATAAGAGCAAAACCCGAGGGTAAGATCACAGGACCTCTGTTTCCAAGAATTCATATAGATGATATCAAAAGAATAGGGCCGAGGGCACCTCCTAGAAACAAAATGGCTCTTTACGAACAACTATCGATTCCTTCTCAAAGGTTTAACAATACACCAGCATTGACATTACCTCCTCCGCCTGTTCATAGTCGGATGCTAACGAATATGTTGTCAAGCCAAGTGAGTTCATTTGTTCATTTAAATTTAACATTTATGTGTCTTGGCTTTTTATAATATTATATCATGTTCTAGTTGTACATAGTTAATTTTGCATGTCAAATAATTTACATAGTTATACATTATATTTAATTTTGCATGAATGGTATGTTTATGTGTCATTAAGCATGTATAAACCTAGAACAATTTGTATGTATCAGTGATATGGATGTATGTAAGTAAAAATATATGATTTCTAGTTGTAAGACTGTATGTATTATATTATTATGAAATTTCATCGATCTAAGCTGTCTATCTAATATAATGATATAACACATCATTTTTATATGATGGATTACAGGTTGGTGGCAAAAGAGAATTGTTTTTTGTTGGCAAAAAATCTCATGCCCCAAATCATTCAAATGGAAAGCACAATTCACGTTCTTATGAAGAAATTTCAGGTAATAGAAATGGAAATCCCCGTAAGAGATCAATAAATGAAGAATGTCAATTGTTGAAAGTACCAATTAGCTTTATTGAGCCAAAGAACCCTTTAAAATCTAAATATCCTTATGTACATACTGTTGAGTCCGATTGTAGATTACCTTCCATTGCCCATCCACGATTGAGTTTGAACTCTAATAAAAATCAATCTGGTTCAAAAGGCAAATATTTAGTCAATTCAAGTTGTTCCTTGGAGCTACAAGCGACTAGTGCAAAGAAGGTAAATATGTATTCAATTGAACACAATTCAAAGGTGGTTGAGGAAAGACACAAAAACAATAAGACACTACTTAGTTTCCCTCAAGGTAATGATGAGCATGATGGAAAATTAGGTAATCAAATTTTACAAATCAGTGATAATACATTAACAAAAATTTCTCTAACGCCCTTGATCAAAGAAGAAAAAAATGAGTCATCGGATCATAAATCTACAAGTGTGTTAGATCAAATTGAGATCAACGGAGATCGAGATAATGTGGGTATGATATCCAATGAAGTAGATAAAGTATGTATGGGTGTAACTATTAAAGAGCCAAGAATCACAATAGCTAACAATACTTCAATATTAAGAAGTGAATCATGTAATGAATCTCACATTACAGATGTTCATCGTCAAACTCTTAGTGTTAGAGAAGGTAATCAAAGCGAAGAAAAGCAAAACAAGAATGGTATGGTCGATTTTGAACGTGGAGATGATTCACAAACTTCAGTAAAGGAATGTACATCGCGTGGAGTCATATCCCCAGATCTTGTTGTACAGATGATAGGTCAAACTCATTTTTGGAAAGCAAGGAAAGAGATTATTGAGTAAGTTTACATTCCTTTCATTTTAATAAATATCGCATATTTTGAATTTTCTTTTTGATAAATTTGGTGGGCTTTTAGAAGTATTTGTGATCAAAATAATTTGTTGGATAATGGTTATAATTTAAAAGAACAAGAGAGCTTTCTAATCCAAATAGAAAATTGACCTGTATTATTAAATATTGTTTTTCGCTTCATACTAACACAATGCATGTATTTATAGTGGAATATGTCGATTTTTTGCTCTAGCAAATCATACTGGTATGTAGCTTGTTCAAGATTTTTCTCTATTCTAGATTTTTTTATAAACAATCTTTCCATACACTATTAATACTCGATTGTTCTATTTTATTATGAATAATCTAGATTATCATATTTCAACAATTCTATCACCATGAGTATTGGACTTAAGGATGCAATATAGGGTTTAAAGGTGGCATGTTGAATATCAAGCACTTATAAATCAAATTACTACAAGTCTTGTAATAATAAACTAGAAATTAGATAGTACAATATGCCAATAAGACAAACTTCTCAAAAATATCTTGAAATAAATAGTTGATCTTAGATCAATCAGAATTTGTGTGGATTGGAGAAATAAAATACGTCTAGCAAAATATTAAGGAATTTATTAAGATGAAGTAATTCTAAAATATGGTATATATTGAAGGGAGGTATTTGTACAATTTGTTTAAAATGGCGCTGATATAATGTTAATTGTTTTTTGTTTTGTTTTGTAGTCAACAAAGAGTTTTTTCCGAGCAATTGTTCGAATTGCATAGGATTGTAAAGGTAACCTAGCTCATAGTGATTGTATATTTTATATTCAATTCTTATGTTATTTCATGAAGAAGATTATTATGTCATATATAATCCATCTTATAATTCAATAGGTGCAAAAGATGTTGGCTAATTGCATAAATTTGCAAAAGAAAGAGCCCTTATCATTGGGTAATTCACTTGTTGAACCTACTTTGAAGAAATTGTTACCCAAATCCATTCAAGAGGCACCATCATGGCACGAAAAATTGAGATATGAAGCATCGAAGATTAAAGATGTTGTTGACAATGCAATCGGAGATCTACCCCTTCCTCCCCTAAGCTCCGATATAACAAGCTTGGCTACAAATTTTGGTAAACACGCAAATACTAATTTGTCAATGTGGTGTCTTCCACCGCCAGGAAACCAATGGTTACTTCCAATGATATCTCCTTCAGAAGGACTCGCGTACAAACCCTACCTGAATCCTCCTCCTCCTCCCGGAGGTTTCTTTCCAACTCTTTCCAGCGGTTTTAGGCCTACAAACCCTACTACCACCTTAGGGAACGAGGAATTTATGAACTCGCAAATTGGAGTTCACGGTGTTACTCCTAGTCCTATGGATCCCTCATACTTTGCACCATATGGTATGTCTATTATTAGCCCATTCGTGTCCACACCAACATTTAAGCAAATGAGCTTCTACGATGTACACTCGAGCACATGTACAAGTAATGGTACTAGAAATGTGGGTGACACGAATGAGAATGAAAAGCTCGAAAATATAGAAATTTGTCCTTATAAGAAGATTAAAACTTCTAATGGTGCACTTCCTTTATTTCCAACTACACCTTCAACAGTAGATATTGGACAGCCTATAAAGAATTGTATTAATGAGCACAAGACCAAGGTGATTAAGGTTATACCGCGTAATAATCCTAAATTAGCAAGTGAATCAGTTGCTAATATAATCAAATTAATACAAGAAGAACGTAAAGCAATGGTGTGATTAGCTAATTATACTGAGGAGACACGAAAGAAAGAAAGAAAAAAACTTAATTATACTGAGGAAAATATACTGAAAAATATTGAGAGATTTTTGTTAGTTAGTTACAGCAAAAATTATTCATTCTTTGGCAAGTGTAAAAAAATACAATTGATTTTTTTAAGATGAAAGGTGAGCTTGATACAAAGGTTTTGAGCTCACGAATAAGAAAATTAGAGTTCAAGATTTTATTTGTGAATTTATTGATGTACTATTTCTCAAAATTTGATTATTGATTATCTTTAATATCATTGTAATAAGTTGTTGGATTTTTGGTTTTTAATTATTTGAAAGAATTGTAGTTGGACTATATTATGTGCGGTTTATTTATTTAATTTTTGATAGAAAACATACCTTATGTCATTTTTTTTTTGAAAAGTCAAATTAATTCATTGATTAGACTATTAGGGGGCGTTTGATTGGGGGTAATAAACAAACGGAATGGGAATGAGAAGGTTCCATTTCCTTTGTTATTGTTTGTTTGACACATTTTCCCATTCCCTTTACCCCTTTTTATTTTTGGGTTCACCCATTTTCCCTCATCACCACTACACCACCAACCACCTCCTTGCTGCCCTACCCCACCGTCCAGCCACCTTGCTGCCTCTCCCCAGTCATCGCTGCTCCGCCATCACCGTCGCCGTCGCCGTAGTCAGTCGACCACCTTGCTCCCCACTCATTCCCCACCGATCACCCTTGACCACCTTGCTCCCTCCTCATCAGTCGTTGCCTTTGGTCGCACGTGGATTGTCGCTCCTCCCTCCATTGTCGCCGGAGATCATCGGTCCGACCTTCTCCACCCCTCCCTTGCCTTGACCCTCGCCGTCTCTCCGTTCTCGAAAACCACCCCCTCCCAATCTCCCTTCAACGCCCAAATCCACTTCACCTCTTCGTCGGCACCCTAATTTCCGAAAAAATCATGGCTGAAAAATTGGCTCCCGATAAGCGCCACACCCCACAACGGTAATCCTTATCTCTTGCATCAATTCTTGTTGATTTTATCGAATGACTGATTAATTTGACTGCTAAATTTCAAATTTTGGAGGTGTTGCGGTTGTGTTGTGGTGGTGCTGTGGTGGTGTGATTCTTGGGTGATTTTTTGATAACAAACAACATGCTAAAAATAATGGGTTTCATTCTATTCTCTTTGATTACCTTTCTTCATTCCATTCCGATTTCCTTGGGCGAACCAAACGGCCCCTTAGAGTCATCAATCTCTACAATATAAATCAAGACTAGCAAATAAAATAGAAATTGGATCAAATAAGCATCTAATTAGGTGGCAAAACGGCATGATCATTATATTAGATCTCATATTGACGAATATATACCTTCTTCCACATACATCACTGTTTTATACAACTTTCCATGAGGGTGGTATTTTTTCCACTATTGTTTTATTTGTTTTTTTAAATCAAATAACAATATTTCATGCAATAGATTGTAAAATTAACTTTCTTCATTCATGACATTGCACAATCCTCATTAAAAAACAATTTTTCCTGCAAAATCTAATATATATATATATATATATATATATATATATATATATATATATAAAGGGGAGTTTTTTCCCGAGTTTTTAGAGAGCCACATAGGATCTAATTTTCTCAGCGCGCCATGTAGGATTATAAATCTTAATAGTAGCCAATTAAATAAGAGATTATTAATTTCTTTTTAGAATTATATAATTCAAATGTCATGTAAGAAAAATTGGTGAATGAGATTTTTAAGTTTAAATTAATTAAATATTATATATTATCTTTTAATATTAGGAATTTTATCTAAATATATAACAAATTTTAGGCTCATAAATACAAAAAAAACATTATTTAAAAAAAAAATCAAACAAACCGTGCATCGCACGGGTTTCATCTAGTTATTATAATACATACATAGCCTAAAATAACTCTCACAAAGAGAGAAATTAATCTTTTTTTTTGAAATAAAGAGAGAAATTAATCTTGATATACGAGTAGATATAACTAACCAAAAAATTGGTAGAAAAATTCTCTAATATAGAGAGAGAAAGGATATATATTATGAGCATAAAATAAAACTAGAAGGAAAACAAGAGATCTACGAGCTTACCATCAACCAAAAGGTTGGTGTTATCTCTAGCCCTAGAACGACACAAAAATATAGGCCGGAAAATATTGAATTTTAACACCACAAAAGGCCAGGAAATGAATTTTAACACTGCCAAAAAAAAAAACTTTTATTTTAACACCACAAAGTTTAAAATTGGCTTTTATCACCACTTAATTGATTCACGGATGGAAGCCGTTAGGTGGGTTCAGAGTGCCACGTGTGGTCATGCTATTGGTTAAAAAACAAAAAAAATAAAAACCCTAAAACTAACTCAGCCACGTCCCTCCACCATCATCGACACCCTTTTCCCACCCTACCCGCACAACCGCAACATTGTTCCATCACCAGCGCACGCTTTCCCCATCCCGTGACTGTTGGAACCCACCCCAACCTCTTCCTTTTCCTCAACCATAAGCCATCCACAACCTGTTTTCCCATCGAAAATAGCCGCCCTTCTCCAAAAAATAATCACCGACGAAATTGGACACTAACGATTGCTATCGACCGATTTAGGGGCTGAGTGGTCGATTTCGACCCTTAACTAGTCGATTTCGGTCATTAATGGCTGATTTCGTCGCTGTTTTTGGGACATGGGAGTCGTTTTGGGTGGGGGAATTAATTGGTGAGCAGTTTGTCGACCCTCGGGAAAGGATGCGTCCGGTGGTTGGAGTTGGGGAGGGAGTGCGCCGTTGGGGGTGAGAGCGGTGGCTGCGCGTTTTGGATGGGGAAGGGGTGTCGGTGATGGTGGTGGTGGGGTGGCTGGATTAGTTTTAGGTTTTTTTTTGTTAAGCTAATAACATGTCGACACGTGACAACATGGATCGCACTTAACGGATTCTGACGGAATCGGTTCAGTGGTGGTAAAATCCAATTTCTTATATATATATTAGTAGTGTATGTGGCTAGCCACATAGTGTGACCTCATTAGTTATAAGAGTAATTTTCATTTATATGTATGAGTAACCTTATTTTTTCATACGAGTAACTCAATTTTGTTCATAAAAGTAACCCTAATTCATTATACAAGTAAAATCAAGTAGTTTAGAAATACGTAACCCCATTTTTCATTCGAGTAACCCCTATTATTTTGTTTTAAAAAATAATTCACTTATTTAAGAGAGTAATCCTTTTTCCTCATCTAAGTAACCAACATATACGTTAAGGTAACCGCATTTACTCATCACCAGACCTCTATTACTCAATTAATTTCCTTATATGTGAATATGTGAAGTGTGAAAATTAGATAATACACCCGGGTGCACCATGCTCATGGTGCACCCGGGTAAACAAAAAAGGCGGAAAGACATATAGTATTTGATAAAGAACATACCTATGTTTGACAAAGAACATACCTATCTTTGACAAAGAACATACCTTTAGTATGTTCTTTAAGTGTGATCAGTGTGTTCTTTGAGTAAAATTATATGTTCATTACATTATAACTTATGTTATTTAACATATGTTGATAAACATATGTTGATGAACTATTTTTTGGGGAAATTATATATTTGATAAGGATTATTTATGAGGTCATCAACATTGGCATGACTCACATCCCGACCCAATTCGGCCCGAAATAGGGTGTGTTTGGGCAAACCTAAAAATGCATTTTTAGTTAAAACTCGAACCAGGTTCGAAAAAAGCCCGAAAACCCGCTACTTTTCTATGGGTTTGGGCACGAGAAATTATGATATGGCCCGGCCCTACTCGATTTTTATCACCTCTAAATTTTTTCTCTTAATAATGTGTAATTTTTCAGAAAATTTTATTAAGTGTTTTTCTCGTTCTTTTTATTATATCTTTATGTTCTTTGGTAATGCATGTTTTTGTCAAATACAAACATGTTCTTTGTCAAATACATGTATGTTCTTTATGAAACAAAGGTTTATTTATCCGGGTGTACGATGAGCACTGTACACCCGTGTATATATACCACGGATTAATGTGAAGTGGACACACATGTGACTAGCCACATATAAGAATTTGTGAATGCAATGTCTTCATTTTTTTTTTTCAAAATTATCTTTTTGGCCACACTATATTTTTTACCGATTTGTATCCATGTTATAAGGTATCTATCAAATCTTTTCTTCAAGAAAATAAAAGCAAACAATATAAGTTCTTTATTTGGATATAGATCTTTTTTTTTTTTTGTTCTTCATATTTAAAAGAAATTGTATAGTATCATCTTTGATTTTTTATTTTTATTTATTTATTTATTTTTGGAGGAAATATCCTTTGTGATATGATTTTTTATTAAAATTGAATTGAGCCTAACTTAACCACTACATGCAAATGACCAATTTGTCCACCTAGTATAAAATCCACGATTTACATCTTTATAAATTCCTACAACATAATTAATAAAGAGCATATTTCCTCTATAAAAACTAATTCTTCATTCCTTTCTAACCTATTACTCAAAACCATTTTTCCTCTATCTTATCTCTATCAAGGCTTATATTTTTTTGTTTTTTTTGCTTTGTTTGAAATGGCTCAGGGAAGCGGTAGTGCAAGACTAGGCTTGTCAGTTGGCATATTATTGTACCTTCTTGCTGCCAAGCCTATCCTTGCCGCTGAATACAAAGTAGGTGACGCAGCTGGATGGACTTTTAATGTCCAGAATTGGCCTAATGGAAAAACTTTCAAAGAAAATGATCTCCTAAGTTAATTTAATTTCCTTCTCTCTTCAAGTTATTCTATTTACTATGAGTTTCTTTTAATTGTGATTTGATAGTCAAATCTGCGATTTGAAAATTAAATCACAAATTTTAATCAAATTATATATTGTAAAAATCTCATACTGTAACAATATGATATTTTTACAATTTCTTTTTTTGTTTTGGTGAAAAGACTTTTACAATATATTTACTCTTAATTTTTATTTTATTTTATTTACAACATACTCTTAATTTCTTTGTTTTGTAACATTTTAATTAAACGTGACACCTTAGCCGGTTAGCCCATATAGATCCATAAAATTGATTTGAATCCAATTAATATCTGAATCCGCAACTTATTATTCATCAAATTATATAAATAAATTATTGATGATTTTCTCGTGCCTGTTTAAAGTTCTAATAATTTTTTTCTACAAGTAATATATTTTTCTCTCAAATTATATGTCTTGTGGTTTATACACACGGGTGTATAGTGCTCATCATACACCCGGATAAATAAAAAAAAGGCGGAAAGAACATCCTGTATTTCATAAAGAACATACATGTATTTGACAAAGAACATGGTTGTATTTGACAAAAACATGCATTACCAAAGAACATAAAGATATAATAAAAAGAACGAGATAAAAGCTTGATAAAATTTTCTGAAAAATTACACATTATTAACGTGAAAAATTTAGAAGTGATAAATAATCGAGTAGGGCCGGGCCATATCATAATTTCTCGTGCTCAAACCCGTAGAAAAGTAGCGGGTTTTCGGGCTTTTTTCGAACCCGGATCGAGTTTTAACTAAAAATGCATTTTTAGGTTTGCCCAAACCCACTCTATTTCGGGCCGGATCGGGTCGGGATGTGAGTCATGCCAATGTTGATCACCTCTTAAAAAATCCTTACCAAAGATATCATTTCCCTAAAAAATAGTTTTCTATCTCTCCAAAAAAAAATTCAACTTCCCATAATAATTTAATTTTTTTTACTCTAACATTATTTTCAATTAAAAATAATTTAAGATTTCAATATCAAATTTCAAAATACCTAATGTTAAAAAGAACATAATTTATATTGTAAAGTACATATAGTTAATACCTAAATAACACACTAATCAAACTCAAAGAATGTGCGATAATAAAAGTAATTTAAATATGACATGATAATATTATCTAATTTTCAGTTTAGAAGTGTAAAAACAAAAATCGCTAATATAGAATATAAATTTATCATTTTTTTTTGACAAAGCTAATGTTATTCTGAGTATTTAATTACTTCAATGGACAAAACTAGGAATGGTTTTAGTAAAAAAAGTCCCTGGTCTAGGGTTTTCGTCTCTGGTCTAGGGTTTAGCGTTCTATGGTTTTTGATTGTTTTGGTAGTAAAAATTTCAGTTTTTTCATTAATTTTTCACTCCTTGTTTTGATTCAATTACAATGGCTGATGAACTTGTTCAAGATTGGGAGAGATTTCGGCTCACGGAAGAAGAAAGTTCAATTATTGGGGAACCTTCGCATGATGAGGAGGTGGGGGCCTCAAATAATCGAATTGAATTGGCTCTGGTAGGAAGACTATGCACAGTAAAACCGTTTAACATTGCAGCTATGAAGCGAACCTTATCGAATGTATGGGGATTGGATGACAATGTTGCAATAAAAATGATCGAAACAAATTTATTTGTGTTCCAATTCGTCAACGAGGAAGATAAAAATAGGATACTTGGGGGTATGCCTTGGTTTTTTGATGGGAAGTTGCTGCTTCTTAAAGAGATAATCGGAGATGAACAGCCTTCTGAGATAGTATTCGATCGCGCTCCAATGTGGGTTCGAATTATGGATGTTCCATTCAACAAAAGAAATTTATCTGTTATGCGGGAGGTGGGTGACTCTCTGGGAGGTTTTGTGAAGATCGATGATGCTGATCCGCTTGGGTGGGGGGAGTTCATAAGAATTAAGGTGTTGGTTGAGGTGCATAAACCCCTACGCAGAGGTGTATTTCTCGCTGGTGGGAATGGAAAGGCCAAGTGGGTGGATATCAAATACGAGAGATTATCGGATTTTTGCTTTTATTGTGGTATTCTTGACCATACTGACAAGGAGTGCACTAAGAAGGAGGAGGAGGATGATAGTAGTACAGAAGTGGTGTACCAATATGGGCCATGGCTTAGAGCATCTCCGTTAAAAATCTCACGGTCTATGCAATCTGATAGAGAGAAGGAAAGGAGGTTGGTTGAGAAACTTGGCTCTAAGAAAGGTGGGGGTTCTATCTCGTATAATAACCCAAGCACTATTAAACTCGGACCGGTGAGTGCTGCACGTAAACTTAATTTTCTATCTTCACCCTTGAGTGAAAGAGACGTGTCACCGAAGCCTAGGGAGATTCGGCTTGCTCTAGTTGCTGATGATCAAACTAACAAACTGGTTCTCAGACCAAGAAGGGTAGAGGAGGGTGTAAGGAGTGGAGAATCTGGGAAGGTGGGGGATGACCAGGCTTCTAAATTGATGGAGGGAGAGAATGTGAGCTTACCAAAAAATATAAATGTAGGGAAGTCAGTGGGGACGAATGAAACAATTAGTAGTGAAAGGAGTGGGGAGGGGGTGGACTTTTCAAAAAATAAAAAAAATGAGTGTGGCAGGGGGGTCGAAAGGGATGCGCAATAGTGAGGTGGGTGTGAAGACTGTAATTGAAAATGGGAAGAAATGGAAAAGGGTGACGAGGATGGATGAGGGTGATCAATCTTTCCTTATGGGGATGGCTCAATGAGTAGAGAGGGGAGGGAGACATCAAAAAGATCAGTGATGGAAAGGAGCAGTGATGAGAAGATGGAAGGTGAGGAAAATTCGGGGAAAAGAGTGAAGCTCAGTGATAGTATTCTTTCCGGAGACGGGTTATATCAAGTAGAGGGTCTTGGGGATGCCCAAGCCCTCGAAAAGCAATGAAAATCATAAGCTGGAACTGTCATGGGATTGGCAACCCCTTGACAGTCAAGGCTCTCCGGGATTGGTGCTAGAGAGAAAGGCCAAATATCGTCTTTTTAATGGAGACGATGATTGATGCGGCTAGTTTGGAGAGAGTTTGTAATATTTGCGGTTTTGTGAATGGCATATGTCTTAGCAGTAATGGGAACTCGGGTGGAATGGGGCTATGGTGGAAGGATATTAATGTGACGGTTCAATCGTACTCGGTTCATCATATAGAAGCGCACGTTTGTGATCATAATAATGAGCCGGTGTGGAGAGCTACTGGGGTTTATGGATGGCCGGAACATGAAAATAAACACCTCACTTGGTCTCTAATGTCACGTTTCAAAGGGGGTAGTTCTTTGCCATGTCTTATGTTTGGCGACTTCAATGAGATCACTTGTGCGGGGGAAAAGGAAGGTGGTGCTACACGAAGTGAAAGTGACATGGATGCATTTCGATGTGCAATTGATGACTGTGGCTTAAGGGATTTAGGATACAAAGGGAGTATATTTACTTGGAAGAAAGGCAATAACCCTGCAACTTTTATCCGTGAACGCTTGGATAGGTTCCTTGGTGATGTTCAATGGCACTCTTGCTTCCGGTATTCTGAAGTTCGGCATTTTCCTATTTACCGCTCCGACCATGCTCCAATTATGCTTTCTGCCAGCAACTATTATGAGCGTGGGAGGAGCTCAAAGTTGTTTAAATTTGAAGCTCTTTGGCTATCAAACGAGGAGTGTGAAAAGGTTGTGAAAGAGGCTTGGGTGGAGATGCCGAGTAATAATGTGGCTGCTAAACTTACTGGTTGTGCTGGAAAACTTACCAAGTGGGCAGCAAAGTGTTTTGGGGATGTGAAAAAAAGAATTAAAAAAACAGAAGAAAAATTAAAGCACGCCCAAAACCGTGTACCTGATGCAAGTATGTTGAGTGAGTGTGCTTCTCTGTCGTCAGAATTGGATGATCTTCATAGACTAGAAGAGTCGTATTGGCATACTCGAGCAAGGGAAAACGAATTGAAGGATGGTGACAAAAATACGACATACTTCCATCAAAGAGCTAGCTCTAGGAGATGCATTAATAGGATCAAGGGGCTGTTTGATGATGATGATGTTTGGCGTGAGCAAAAGGAGGAGATAGAGGGGGTCGTGTCAAACTATTTTAGCAAGCTCTTTTCGTCTGAGGCTCCGGGTGGTTTCGAAGATGCAATGGAGGGTGTAGAGAGAATGGTCTCTGATGATATGAATATTGCTCTGAATGCAACTCCGACAAAGGAAGAAATTAAAGAGGCTTTGTTTCAAATGCACCCGAATAAGGCTCCGGGCCCTGATGGTATGCATGCTTTGTTTTTTCAAAAATTTTGGCATATTGTTGGGAAAGATATTGTTGCTTTTGTCCATAGTTGGTGGAATGGTACTGCTACTCTCTCTGAGATTAATAAAACATGTGTGGTTTTAATTCCGAAATGCGATAATCCAAAACGCTTGACGGAATTTAGACCAATTAGTTGTTGCAATGTGTTGTACAAAATTATCTCGAAGACTATGGCTAATAAATTGAAACCTTTCTTGGGTGAAATTATATCTGTTAACCAGAGTGCTTTTATTCCAAAGAGATTAATAACAGATAATGCCTTAGTTGCTTTTGAGATTTTTCATGCGATGAAGAACAAGAGTGGTGGTAAAGATGGTTCGATTGCGTTGAAATTGGACATGAGCAAAGCCTATGATAGTGTCGAGTGGGTGTTTTTGGAAAGGATGATGTACAAGCTCGGTTTTTGTGATAATTGGGTTCGTCGAATAATGGATTTCTTGTCGAGTGTCTCTTTTGCTTTCAAGATAAATGGTGAAATTTCGGGTTCGATCTCCCCGTCTAGGGGCCTTAGACAAGGTCACCCTATTTCCCCCTATTTATTTCTCATTGTGGCGGATGCTTTTTCTACTTTGTTGTCTAAAGCTGCTAGAGATAATTTGATTCATGGTGTTAAAATTTGTAATGGGGCTCCAAGGGTGTCCCATTTGTTTTTTGCCGATGATAGCATACTCTTTGCTAAATTCACTGTTAGAGAATGCTCTGTGATAGCTAATATTATTAGCAAATATGAGAGAGCATCTGGGAAAAGTGTCAATCTTAATAAAACAGATGTTGTGTTTAGCAAAGGTGTGGAACAAGATCGTAGACATGAAATTGTGAATGTATTGGGTGTGAGAGAGGTGGAAAAGCATGAGAAATACTTAGGTCTGCCGACAATTATTGGGAAATCGAAAAAAGCCATTTTTTCTAGTATTAAGGAGAGAATTTGGATGCGTATTCAACGATGGGAAGAGAAACTATTATCGAGACTGGGGAAGGAAGTATTGATTAAAGTCGTTGCTCAAGCCATCCCGACATACATGATGAGTATTTTCAAAATTCCAGGTGGTCTTATGGACGAAATTCATTCCCTCTTTGCAAGATTTTGGTAGGGCTCGAAGGGTACGGCTAGAAAGATGCATTGGCAAAAATGAGAGACCTTATGTGTGCCAAAGTCAAGGGGTGGGCTTGGTTTCCGTGATCTCAAAGTGTTCAATCAAGCTCTACTTGCAAAACAGATGTGGCGACTCCATAGCAACCAAAAATCATTTCTACACTCTATTCTCAAGGCTTGGTATTTTAAGAATAGCACAGTCTTGGATGCATATCTGGGTTACAACCCAAGTTATTCTTGGAGGAGCTATGGGGAGCAAAGTCATTACTGCTGGAGGGTCTACGGTGGAGGGTCGGGAATGGTAATACAATTAGAGTCTGGCTGGACCCGTGGCTTCAGGGGGCTGCCAATAGTGCAGCTCCTTCTCATGGGCCTAATTTCGACCCTAATTTGCGAGTGGTTGATCTGATGAATGCTGAAAATGGGGAGTGGAATGTTGATATGATTAATAATTTATTTTCTCCTGACGAAGGTAAATTAATTCTGAAAATCCCTCTCTCAATTTCCCCCCTAGTGACTCTATGTTCTGGTGGCACACTAAAGATGGAGACTACAAGGTGAAATCTGGCTACTGGCTGGGTATGCTTGGGCATTTAAACCAGATGATTGCAGATGCTAATGACAAAGAGCATGAAGCTTGGCAGGTGGTGTGGCATCTTGATGGTCCTGCGAAGCTTAGCCATTTTGCGTGGCAAGCATGTAAGGGGAACATGGCAGTTAGAGAAGAGTTGTTCAGGCGTCACATTGCTACTGACCGGTTATGTCCTTGCTGCAGTTTGGAAGGTGAGACTGTGAATCATGTCTTGTTTGATTGCACAAAGGCTAAGGAAGTGTGGACGAGCAGCAATTTTCGAGCCTTGATTGATGAAGCTCCTGCAGGTCCTTTCATGGAGAAATTGTTGTGGTTTAACAGCAAGTTAGAAAAGCAGGAGTTGCGTATGCTACTTGCTTTGGCCTGGTCTAACTGGTATTGCAGGAACAAGTTTATCCATGAGCAAAAGTCTTTGAATGCTGTCTTTACAGCAGCAAGCTTCGCTAAGCTTGTGACAGATTATTGTTCTTATGCTAGGCGTGTCTTCGTGATGCATAAAACTCCTGATGCTCCCTTGATTTGCTCATGGACGAAACCTCCTGCTGGAGTTACAAAGATTAATGTCGATGCACACATTTCTGGTGCATATGCAGGGGTTGGAGCTGTGGCTCGTGATGAAAATGGTGGCTTAGTATGGGCTGCTGTTAAAAGGATGGAAGGGGAATGGGATGTGGAATGCGCTGAGGTTGCTGCTGTCAGTTTTGGACTCCAACAAGCTCACAGATGGGGTTATACAAACATATGGATTAAAGGGGATGCAATCAATGTGATTCGGCAGATAAACAACAACAATTCGGGTTTCTCTCCTTTATGGCTTATTTATGATGATATTAGAGCAATGTCTAAGTGTTTTACTTTCTGTTATTTCTCACATGTCAAGAGAGTAGGCAATGTGGTGGCTCATCTCGTTGCGAGATGGGATACACGCAATAGTTCGGAAATAGTTTGTATGAACTCCTTCCCCCAAAGCTTAATTACTTTGGCGGAAAATAATCTTTAATAAATAGCCTACTAACCTTGCCTAAAAAAAAAAAAAAAGAAAATTACTTCAATGGACGTCACAATGTGGCAAACGTAACTAAGGAAGGATACGATAGTTGCAAAGCACCAAGCGGATCAAAAGTGTACCAAAGTGGGCATGACGAAATCCGATTGGACTTTGGACAAAGTTACTTCATCTGTACTTCTCCTGGTCATTGTGAGAAAGGCATGAAGATTGCTATTAATGTATCTGATTCTAGTTAATTATAATTACTTCTTATGTTTGAATTTAATAATAGAATGGTTGTTATTACATAATTCAACTATTTTAATTAGCTTGTAATTAATTCAAGGATCATAATAGTTATTATTCGATATTCTTGTGATAAATTTGTCTTTAATGTATCATCAGCTAGCTTTGGACAACACAACCAACATTGACTTTTAGTCAACTCGATCTAATCTAATAGAGTAAGAAGGTTATATTTAGTGGACCCCAAATAACATCACACTTCAATTCACTAGGAAGGTTTGATGTTTTAAGAAATCGTAGGAGTAGGTGGTAAAATTCAAAAAAAAAAAAAAAAAAAAAAAAAAAAAAAACAAAACAAAAAATTGTAAGTGGTAATTGCTAAAACAACAACAATTGTAGGTGGTAATTGTTAAAAAAAAAAAAAAAATCCTTATTTTTAAACGAAAGGAAGATGATGGTAAAAGCCAAATCGAAAAAGTTAAAAATATTTTACCGTCATATAAAAGGGATGTAAACTGATATTTTACCATAAATAAAATATTTTACCATCATATAAAAGGGATGTGAACTGATATTTTACCATAAATAAAACATGATAATAATTCATTTTTTAAAATTTTACATTACCAATATTATTTACATAAAAACAAAAGAAATTAACGGTATAAGTTTAATTAAGTTACTTT